CTGTGTAGCTTTAGCGCCTTTCCTGGAACTCACTCTGTAGCCCAGGCTGGCCTCGAACTCACAGAGATCCGCCTGCCTATGCCTCCCAAGTGCTGGGATTAGAGGTCTGCACCACCACCGCCCAGCATGGTTCATATTTATATTAACGGATCTTCAAGTTTCTTATATTTGCTGTGGAAGTTTAGGCGATGGTGTTGACTGGTCCACCGGATTTTATGGCCTGAATTCCCAGAGCCTCCAGCTTCTTCCACCTGCTCATCGTCCCTTCCCGACCTGGCCAGCAGGCGGCGCGGTCTGCAGCACTTGTTTTTCCTGCACACCAGTCTTCTTTGAGTCAGCGAACCATCGAGAGATGAAGACCTCCCGTTTTCCTAGAGAAAGCAAACGGGCGTTTGGCTCACGGGGATTGTAGTGGGTGGCGAAGGACGACCCGGAAACGACATGGGGAGGGGGAACTTCCGTTCTTTGTTCTGTTCTCGGTTGTGTGGGTCTGTGACAGGGTCCAAGAGGGCCTGGTTCGTGTCCGGCCCCCTAATTACGTCCCTGTCCCCAGGGTGAGTGGGGCCGTCTTCGGGACTCGCGGTGAGGCGGAAGTGTGGTCGCCGGGGAAGGGGGTTGGTGTTCACGCCTCTGCGGCCCGCGGGGTCCCCGGGCCCGGCTCCGTGGGGTCCTGGGCCCTCCTTGTCCCTGCGGCCGCTGCTCAGCTCCGCAACCCCGGCTCCTCGAGCCCAGCGGGTTCCCGCGTGTCGCGGATTGGGACTCCGGACCTGCTCTTGTGTCCTCCACCGCCAGCCCCAGTGTTTGAAATTTCCAGCGTCGCTGCAGAGGTCCCTTTCTTTAAAACAGCTGATGACAGACAGACAGCCAGCCTAACTTGGTACTCTCAGTGCACCGTTTTCTGTGCTGGGGGCAGGAGAAGAAGTTTGTTTTTCCTTAATTGGATCGGAGAGTGAGAGTAGTTCTGTGTCTTAGTGAGAACTAAGGCTGGGGAGGAGATGCGAACTCAGGTCCTCAGAAAGATCCTGCGGGGACCTCACCTAGTGTCCTATAGATATGTTTTATCTTGCTGCCGGATACCCTTTCCTGGCGAAGCTGTACAACGCTGGCGCAGACTCCCTGCAGAAAGTGGCTGAGTGTCCAGCTGACTAAGACACTAAGAACCTAGATTGACACAGAGAACCTTCAGTTCATATCAGCTCTCTAGGGTGCAATGAAAAGACAATGGCCTTCGTCGGTAGTTATTAGAGTATATCCCTTTCCCTCCGTACTTCTTAAGCATCTATATTAGAAATAAGTTTCACGTGAGTTTTTCCATTTTGCTCCCTTAATCATACAGCACTGGTATCACCTAAAGCAGTGGTTCTCACCCTTCCTAATGCTGCGACCCTTTAATACAGTTCCTATGTTAGAGTGACCCCCAACCATAGTTATTTTTGTTGCTACTTCATAACTGTAATTTTTCTACTGTTACGAACTGTAATGTATATATCTGTTTTCTGGTGGTCTTAGGCGACCCCTGTGAAAGGGGCCTTCGACCCCACCCCCACCCCTAGTTGAGAAACACTTAAAATGAATTTCCAGGAATTAGTCAAGCTTGCTGGCTCACATCTGTAATCCCAGCACAGATGCAAATGAAGCAGGAGTATGAATATAATTTCAAGGCCAACCTGTACTATACAGTGAATTAATTCCAGCCTAGTCTGGGGTATACTGTGAGGTCTTACCCAATAAAGAAAGACAAAAAAAAATAAATAAATAAAATCCCAGAAACTGAACATAAGATGTCAAATTTCTTACATCACTACTTTAATCTTAACAGGGGTTAACTCTGTAGAAGGAAGAAAGGATCCAGGAAGGGAGGCCTCCTGACCTGTCCTCACTGTCATGTGGTCCTTCTTGGTCCCTTGGGCAGTTTGAGGGAGTGGAGTTGGCAACAGGGCCGGGGAAAGGCTCTGCCCATACCCAGATGGCAGAAGTACCATGCAGAGTTTCTATGAGAAACATTGTTGACTGACTCAAGACACTGGGGACTTGTCCTCAACAATATGCCTTTGAGTTCCAGCTTCAGTTAACACAGCCTTGAACGGGGACTATTGCCTTTCACTCTGTTGTTTGTTTTTTGAGACAGCATCTCTCTACAAACCCTGACTGTCCTTGAACTCATTATGCAGACCAGGCTGGCCTTGAAGTCTGCCTTCCAAGTACTGGTATCAAAGGCATGGGTCACCATGCTCAGCTTGCCTCAGCCTCTCAGGTGTCAGGTGCTAGGCTTTCAGGTCTGTGCGATGATGGACGAATTCCTACTACGCTACAGCCGGTTTGATACTAGAGTGCTAGCACCTAGCTTTGATCTGCCTTTTGTGATTGCTACCCCCTGCCTCCTTACCTTTTGTCTGAAGTCTTATCTGAGTTTCCGAGGGGATGGAAGCCTATGTAAACTTAGTAACAACCACCCAGTGGTGTTATTGCTGAGAATTTGCATTTGGCTTGGCATTGTCCCTTTGGGGGGCTTAGATCAAAGACTCTGGTATACGAATTGACTTGCTAAAGGTGTGATTTGTCTAACAAAAGGGCTCTTTGCTCAGCAAGGGCAATTCAGTTCACCGTGAGAAATCCACCCTGCATCTGGAAAAGGCTGAAATTCAGCCTTGAGGTGCCTCTGTACTTCTTTCCATGGACCTGCATGAACCTACACCCACTCCCGATAAACAACTGTGCCACCCATGCCAAGTAGTTGATTACCCCCACCCCCATCCCTCTCCAACAGGATTTCTCTGTAGCCCTGGCTGTCCTGGAACTTGCTCTGGAGACCAGGCTGTCCTTGAATTTAGAAATCTGCCTGTCACTACCTCCCTTGTGTCAAGATTAAAGGTGTGCTGCGCCGCCACCGCCACCTGGCTGATTTTTAAAGAGAAGATAATTTTGTTGTTTTTGTCCATTGTTTTTGACCCATATTTGCGATAGGGTCTCATACTGTTGCTAGCTTGGTCTATTTTTTTTTTTTTTTATGTGTATAGGTGTTTTGCCTATGTGTATGTCTGTGTACTGTGTGCATGCAGTGTCCCCAGAAGCCAGAAGAGGGCATCAAATCCCCTAGGACTGGAGTTACAGATGGTTGTGAGCCACCATGTGAATGCTGGGAATCAGGCCCTGGGCCCTCTGGAAGGACAGCCAGTGCTCTTAACCACTGACCATCATTCCAGTCCCTTGTTTGTTTTGAGACCGGATGGCACAAAGAGCTATGAGATCCTATTTTTAGAAAAAAAGGTGTGGAGTAGTGTAAAGAATGTTGCCACCTTCTTAGTGAGAGGAAGCACAATTGGGGTTAGTCCTTTTAATTGTTTTTTGAGATAGGGTTTCTTTTTTATATTTATTTACTTTTATATTATGTGTGTGGGTGTTTTGCACTGTGTCTCTGCACTGTGTATGTGCCTGGGGCCTTTCAGGTCCAGAAGGTGGCATTGGATTCCTTGGAACTGGAGTTCCAGATGTTCTGAGTTGCAGTGTGGGAGATGGTAATCGAACTTAGGTCTTCAGGAAGGGCAACAAGTGCTCTAAACCACTGAGCCACCTCAATAGTCCCAAGATAGGTTTCTTCTTCTTCTTTTCTTTTCTTTTCTTTTCTTTTCTTTTCTTTTCTTTTCTTTTCTTTTCTTTCTTTCCTTCTCTCTCTCTCTCTCTCTCTCTCTCTCTCTCTCTCTCTCTTTCTTTGTTTCCTTCCTTCTTTCTTTTTCTTTCTTTTTTGAGATAGGGTTTCTCTGTGTAACCTTGGCCTTTGGCTGTCTTGGATCCCACTCTGTAGACAAGGCTGATCTCGAACTCACAGAGATCCACTTGCCTCTGCCTCCTGAGTGCTGAGTTCTGGGATAAAGGTGTGCACAACCACTGCCCAGCAAGATAAGGTTTCTTTCTTTTTTTTTTTTTTTAAATTTTAAAAACTATTTATTTCTATTTTATGTGCATTGGTGTTTTGTCTGCACATCTGTGTGAGGGTGTTGGATCCGTTGGAACTAAAGTTCAGATGGTTGTGAACTGTCATGTGGGTGCTGGACTTGATCTTAGGTCCTCTGGAAGAACAGCCAGTGGTGTTAACTGCTGAGCCATCTCTCCAGCCCCAAGCTAAGGTTTCTTACAACATAGTTTGGCCCTGAACTAATCCCCCTTCCACATCTCCCTAGTGCAGGCATTACAGGTGTATGCCACCATACCTGGCTCAGGGTCAGTCATCTCAGTCTAGTGAATGATACCCACCTCATTACTACACTTGTCACTAAAAATGTTGGAAATCTGTGTGGGCTCATTACAGAAGTACCCATGTTCACAGGGATCAAAGGGTAGTCCTGTGTGTTTCTTCTCACTCTTCCTGTGTACTGAGATGCAATTCCCTTTATGAAATCAGGAGGCATTTTAAAAAATAACTTTGATCTCTTTGCCTCTGCAGTGCTTCTTCAAAACCTGCTTCCTGCTGAGTCTACAGGTAGGAGATCAGTGACCAAAACATTTCACTCACCCATGGAAACTCAGGCTGACCTTGCATCCCAGGAACCTCGGCCCCTGCTAGAGAGTGGTAAGATAATGGGGTTGGGAGAGGAGGTTGTTCTCCTCTTTTTCTGTTGTTTAACTTGCTTGTGTTTTTGTTTCCCTTTGAGGCAGGGCCTCACTTTGTTGCCATGGCTGACCAGAAACTCACTGTGTAACTAGGTTGGTCTGAACCTCGGAGAGATCCCCCTGCCTGTGCATCTTTAGTGCTGGGATAAAGGTGTGGGCCAGCACACTTGGTAGGCTTGTTTGTCTCTTGAGACAGGGTCTCATTGTGTAGCCGAGGCTGGCTTTTAATTTTCCATATTCTTGACTCGTGTCTGTAGTGTTGGGTTTAAACAGATATCTTTCACCAAGCCCTGCCTCATTCTTTCCTGTGTGTGTGTGTGTGTGTGTGTGTGTGTGTGTGTGTGTGTGTGTGTGTGTTGAGACAGGGTCTCACTGTGCAGCCCTAGATGGCTAAGGACTTCCTATGTAGACCAGGCTGCCCTGGAACTCCTAGAGATCTACCTGCTTCTGCCCTCCAGGTGCTGGGACTAAAGGCATGTGGCATCACACCCAAGCCAAAATAACTTTCATTGAATTTTTTAAATTAAATGTATTTATTTTGTTTGTTATGTATATAGACATATATGGCACAATACACCAAAGTTTCTATGCAGAGGTCAGAGGGCAAGCTCTGGAGTTGGTTCCTTCCTTCCACCATGTGAGTTGGGGGGGGTAGGCATCAGCTCAAGCAGAGAGGCTTTGTCAATGTGCCTTCACCCATTGAGCCATAGAACCTGCCCTGAACTCTCTTTTTGAAACGTTTTGTATTGCCATATAGTAATTATATATGATATTGGGTTTCATTACATTTTCATACTTTTTTAAAAATATTAAAGAGCTGTGGGGTTGGAGAGGTGGCTCAGTGGGTAAAAGCTCTTGTCTTGGAAGCATGAGGACATGAGTTTGAATCCCCAGAACCTGCATTAAACCATATGCATAGTAAGAATGTCTGTAGTCCCAGCATTCCAATGGGAGATGGGAGCTAGAGATGGGAGAATCCCCAGAAGCTCATAGGCCAGCTAGCATGGCATACATAGCAGAAAAACAACCAAGATACCCAGTCTCAACCGAGGAGGGAAGCAGGAACTGAGGCTGTCCTCTGACCTCCACATGTGCACCGTGGCGTGTATGCACCCACACTCACAGGGGCATTCCTACACACAAATTCCCCAAACGTTAGAAAGTTGTGTGGGAGAAAGGACTTCTAGGGCACTTACCAGGGTCATGTATGTCTCAGATTGTCATAGCGGGGTGTGTGACGGATCCGTGGAAAGAAGACTCAGAGGCACCTTAAGAGTGAATCTAGTCTTTCCTGGCTGCAAGGGGGTCCTGCCTTGGCGGACTGAAGCACTTTCCTTTCACCCAGGGCATTTTTATTTTCTATTTACAGTTTAGCCAGTTAATTTTCATATGCTCAAAGCAACCTGAAAGAAGCTCCCAAAGATAAAATGCCAAGTGCAAATTCCTTGATTTCTCAGGTACCACGGTTTTCCCGGTTTCCTGAACCAAGTTTTGCATAGGCCTTTGATCCTTGGGAGACTCTCAGACAAGATTCACATAGGGCGATAAGAGAAACAAAAGGTGTGGGTTAAACAAAGGGTGGATTAGGGCTAGGTGCTGCTCTCTGGAGCCCAGGCTAGGAGTAGCTCAGCAGGAACGCCGCCACACATACATTTGCTAGGTAAGCACTTAGCACTGAGCTAAGAGCGGCCGGTTTCAGTCATAATGGCTATTGTTCCCATGCTTACTAGGAAAAAGCATTTAAAATCTGTTTTGTCAAATCTAGTTATGTATAGTGGGTTAGACCCTGAGAGACAAACACAAAACTTACGGCTGATGGGGAAAGGTATGTGGTCCAGAGCAGAGCTAGGAAACATTTCTTTCATATTGATATAGATTTGGTCTTTGGATGGAAAAAGAGAAGAGGTGTGGGTGTTGTGTTTTCGGTCCGGGCTCGAGGGAAGCTGCTCATTTCCCTCTGCCTACGAATCTCCTACAAGAATTTGCAGTATTGGAAGGAAAATGAGAATGGAACTGGTCCCCGACCCCACTTGAAGAACAGGCATGAATGGTCAGGAGTGTGGCATTCATGGAAGCAGAGACAGGGTGGGTTTTGAGGCATGTGACCTTAGGTCAGAAAGCAGGCAGATTGATTCCTGGCCCTGGTATTGTCCTTCAGCTCTTTCCTCTTCAAAAGTCCCTTCCTTTCCTGACAAGGACAGCCTGGGGCAAGAGATGTTGGCTGCTGCACTTCTGAAGGCCAAGTCCCAGGTAAGCCATGGTTCCTTCCCTTCATTCTTTTCCTTCTCGTTTTGTAGAGTGATGTATCATTTAGTGCCCTAAACTCTTAATTCTGTCCATCAAAACCATGGTTCTGTGGCCAGACCAACACCTTTAATCTCAGCACTCAGGAGGCAGAGGCAGGTGGATCTCTGTGAGTTCAAGGTCAGCCTGGTCTACAGAGCAAGATCCAGGATAGCCAGAGCTACACAGAGAAACCCTGTCTGGAAAAACAAAAGCAAACGAAAATGGTGTTTGCGGCCAACCCTGCCAACTGGATATAATCCCTGGGATCTGTATGTTACAAGCAGAGAACTGACTGTCACAGATTGTCCTCTGACCTCCATTGTGTGCAGTGGTACCCCTCCCCCAAATAAATAAATGTTAATAAAAAAAATCATTTCCATTATGGACTCTTGGAAGGCAGTTATGCTCATCCCTATGCCATCAATGCTGTACCCTGTTTTGGATGCTCACACTGGTATTGCTCTGACCTCTGCCCTCATCCCAAAGAGCTCAGCCCCATCCTGGTTGCTGTCTGGTGCTGCCAGTCCTGACCCTTGCCCTGAAATTGTACATATGGCCATATGACTGTTTCAGGATTTGGTAACATTTGAGGATGTAGCTGTGTACTTCATCTGGAAAGAGTGGAAGCGTCTGGAACCTGCACAGAGGGACCTCTACAGGGATGTGATGCTGGAGAACTATGGGAATGTGTTCTCACTGGGTAAGGACTTGTACCTTCTCAACAGAGCATGCTACTTTTTCTAGGCTTCAGGGTTTGCTAGTGGCAATGTAGTCTTAGAAAACTCTAATAGTGGTGCTGGAGAGATGGCACTTTCTGCTCTTGCAGAAGACCTAAGTTCAGTTTCCCATTTCTCACATGGAGGCTCTCAATTGTAACTCCATTTTTAAGGGATCTGCACCAGACACACACGGTACATCCATGCATGCATGCAGACAATCATAAACATTAACAATAAATAAATTAAAAACGAAAACTAGCCGGGCGTGGTGGCGCACGCCTTTAATCCCAGCACTCGGGAGGCAGAGGCAGGCGGATCTTTGTGAGTTCGAGGCCAGCCTGG